TCCTGCGCCGCTCGCAACCAGGCACTTCTTGCGACCTTCCCCAAATCGTCGGTCCACCTAGTGGGAGGCCTGCCCACGCTACGTCTTCCGGCTCGTGGTCGCCACTCAAAAACTTTACTGCCCCAGCGGCCATCAGCTCTACGAGATATGTGCCCCGCCCACTGCCACTTGATTTTAGCGATTCTGTGGGCTATGTCAGTCACTTTGTCCGCCTGCGTCTTTCGTCCTCAATTAGCGTAGTAGGAATCAATCTTCTACTTTGAACTTGAGGAGGGTAAGCGGAAACATGGCTGCCAACTCCTCAGATAGTCAAGTACAAAGATGTCCAGAAGCAGCATACGAAAAGATGCAAAATGAGCCCTCTCAAATTACAATGGGAAGGTTATTAACTATTAAGGTATAGGGTAGTAAGGGATTATCCGTGTCAATGGGTTTAAATAAACCGGCTTGTCGTAGCAAAAGTCTGAGATTTTTCTTGTCAGTTCGCCCTCGCCACTCATGTATTACCGGACCTAATAAGCGGAGAACAATTTGAGGGAGGTACTTTGTTGCCTTCCAGAGGTTGTGGTTCCCATTTGCATTCCGAGACATATATGCCAATCTTGTGTGAGTGATTCGCTTAAATTATAGTCCAATAGTGTGGGTTATCTGCCAGACGAAGGCGGGGATTTTTTTCTTGACAGCAAGAGGGACCGGCGCCTCTCGCGATCAATTATTTATTAGACCAAGCAGTAACTTGAATAATGTACTTGATTAACTGTTAATATAATTGTATTAAGTTATTCAATCAATTTATTAGTACATCAACGGCATTAAGTTCGCCTTGTGTACCAATGTATATATTATAGTTAGTTTTTCTGTTATATGGTTTACTGATGGGTCAAAAATGGGCCCTAACGTAGGCTTTGGCGTGTATGGAAAGCAGCCGAAGCTTAGGCTATCTCAAAGCCTGGGTAAATTTGCCTCTATCTTTCAGGCAGAAGTCTACGCCATTATTGAATGTGCGGAAGCTAACCTGCGAAAAAATTATGCCAACTACATAATTTACATTAACTCAGATAGTCAGGCCGCGCTGATGGCCTTAAACACCATCTTAATCACCTCAAAGTTGGTAGAAAACTGCATGAGTCGACTGAATACCCTAGGAAAACGTAACAGAGTAACGCTGAGATGGGTTCCAGGTCACGCGGGAATCGTGAAACTGGCAAGAGCGGGAGCGGAGGGAACACAATATGGTCCAGAACCCTTTTGTGGCATTTCCAAAAGTCTCGCTCGAATGACCCTGGAGAATATCTATTGAAACAAATCCTTTAAGGAATGGTCAGACACGCCAGGATTAACTCATTCCAAAGCTCTTATAAAAGCCTATGACCGAAAATGCTCTAAGCAGATCATAGGACTGATTAGGATCAAAATGCGCATCTTAGTTCGAGCCTTCACTGAACACTGCAGCTTAAACAAGCACTTGTCCACTATGGGACTGTCCGAATCAAGAACGTGCAGGATGTGCCAAGAGGCAGATGAAACTCCACTACACATTCTCACGGACTGCAGACCTTTGATGCGCAAGTGGAGCTTGCAAAACCTGGGCAAACACATCCTAAGCCCACAAGATGTAAAACACATCGCCCCCCAAAAGATATTGCAATTCCTAATGGATGCAGGACTCGGAGGCGAACTATAAGGAAAATAGCGGCGATCACAATAGATCGGTACCGGTCGCAGTTATACTAGGACTTTATTGAACTAGAATAGCCGCTCAACTCAATAAAAAAATAGTTCTTCTGCGTTTGAAATACAAATTAGTACAGTATAGGAGAGGAATAAATTGCAAATAGTTTGTACAGTATCAGTATCGGCGCGCCGACAGCTGGTCGTCGGCGGCGGCGGCGTGAAAAAATTCGCGGCGGCGGGGGCGCGCCGGCGTGGCGCCCACCTCTACTCCACTGCCGCTATCGTTCCCACTGCCGCTATCGTCTCCACTGCCATTGCTATCAGAACTGTCACTGCTTTCAGAACTGTCGCTGCTGTCGGAACTATCGCTGCTGTCGGAACTGTCGCTGCTGTCGGAACTGTCACTGCTATCGGAACTGTCACTACTGCTGCTGCTGCTACTACTGTCTACATTTATTGAAAACCAGATCAAAAGGTTAGCTCAAAGTAGATTACACAATGAATTGCAGACGTAAACAAGTAAATTAAAAGCCTACGGTCAGCTGAATTGCACCACCTTTGACCGTAACTTTAACGGTACCCGGTGTTTTTTGTATGGAGTTTGACAGATTTTTAAACGTTTGTTAAAGTAAAAGTAATATGATGCAACCCAGCAATTATATAGATAATAATATAGAGAATATGAATGTCATATTTTACCTGATGACGAGGAACTATCACCGTAGGCACTATACAATAGGCCTGCTACCAGAAACAATAATAATATTTTGCACTGCATCTTGAAATTTGGTGTCCTCTTCTAAGATGTCCTATTTTCTGATTCAATGTCATTCTTTTGCAGTGGTTTTATACACTAAAGTCACGTTAATTTACTGATAAGTATTGAAATAGAACTGCTCTTGTTTTCATCTTATAAAGTTAAACTATTGGTATCTAATTGGTAGGTACTGCATATTGATGTATTTAAATCGACATCGAGAACATTATTTTGGTTCTTATTTGCGTCATTGCACGTGGATTACGATCTGAGGTCGAATTCTGTAAAGCAATCGTAATCATTTGACAGTTACATAACGTACGATTATTCTGTCAAACGCTTTGTTTAACTGACTTTATCGTAGGTACGTTATGAACTGTCAAATTATTACGATTGCTTTACACAATTCCACCTCAGACTTGATAGGTATTCTGTAATAAATGAAATAATAGATACTTACCTAATAAGACTTTTTTCACAAAAATTACAAAGCTAGGTAGGCCCCAACTTAGTAACTTTCACCAAATGTTCCCACCATATGAATTTCCAATCTAGCTAGTGTAGGTACGTGAATGTTTGCGAATACCATGTTTAATCTATACTTATAATAAATCTGTAGAGAGGTCAATTCTGTACATGAAATATATTTTCAAAATAACTATCAGGGGGTGATTAGTGATCGATACTGATGCCAAAAATGCAATCAGTAAAATTTTTGTCTGTCTGTCTGTCTGTCTGTCTGTATGTTCCTTATAGAAACAAAAACTACTAGACGGATTTTAACGAAACTTGGTACAATTACTCCTTAGGATAGAATAGGATACTTAGGAATTCCCACGGGAACGGGAATTAGCGGGAAAATACTTTTGTATGAAAAATGTAAACCGCTTAAGTTAGACGCTTGAAATTTGGCATGGAGGTACCTTAGTAAACTTAAAGCTTAGTTGCAACAGGATATTGGAAAATTCCCACGGGAACGGGAGTTAGTGGGAAAAAACATTTGTATGAAAAAATCTAAACCGCGTAAGATAGACTCTTGAAATTTGGCATGCAGGTACCTTAGTAAACTTAAAGCTTAGTTACAACAGGATATTGCAAAATTCCCACGGGAACGGGAGTTAGCGGGAAAAAACATTTGTATGAAAAAATCTGAACCGCGTAAGATAGATGAAGGGGGAGTAAAACGAGATCCACGCGTACGAAGTCGCGGGCGGACGCTAGTTATGTAATAACTAGCTTTTGCCCGCGGCTCCGAATGCATGTCCCTTTCTATTAAACGGAGATAAAATCTATCCCAAATTTTCTCGGGGATCTCTCTATTAATCTATCTCCTTATATTTCATCTAAATTGGTTATGTTTTAGTGAGAAAAGTATCAGAAAGACAGACAGAGCTTTACTTTCTCATTTAATAAGTAGCTTTCCGCCCGCGGCTTCGCCCGTGTGGAATTTTTCGGTTTTTTATATATCCTATGACACTCAGCAGTAATGTGGATTTCTGTTGGTGAAAGAATTTTTAAAATCGGTTCAGTAGATCCCGAGATTTAACAAATTTACAAACACACAAACTTTACCTCTTTATAATATTAGTATAATAGATAAGTATGCTTGGATTTTACACTGACATAGAAATAAAAAATAAAATATATCTTGCACGCCGTTACCTACTTATTTGGTATTGAAATGTTGATTAAAATGCATTACTATGCACTAAAGAGAATAATTAAGGAAAGTTCTAGGACGACGGAAAAACCAAAGATTTAGGTATATTAACATGTTAATGCACATAAGTAAGATTAGGTTTTGCTTTTTTGTGTGTTTCTTTTTAAAAGTAAGTTTTGGTTCCATTTCTAGCTTATCCACTGCTGATTGTAGCTCTACTAAAAAAAATTGGTAGGTCTCTCTCTTACCTCAGATCGTTTAGATAAGATTCTCATACGTTGAGTAGAGATTTTAAAGAAGTCAAAAGAAGAGCTTTACTGACAAAACCATTGTTTTTTCAGTAATAAATCTGTTTGTCTGTTTGTCATCTTACAACTTACATTAGGTACAACTAGATTTCCGCCCGCGGTTTCTGTCTGTGAATTTTGTCTGTGATAGAAAAACATCATCGCGCACGTCCCTGTATCAAAAACCGAGATAAAACTATCCTTTGTCCTTTCCTGGGACTCAAACTATCTCTAAATTTCATCAAAATCGGTTCAGTGGTTTAGGCGTGAAAGCGATACAGACGGACAGACAGAGTTACTTTTGCATTTATAATATTAAGAATAGATTATCTACCTGACTTCACGCACATTAACCAAATAAAAGAGATTTTTTTATTAGAACGTTGGAATTTCCAAGATCATTTAACAACCAGCTTTGTACTGCGTAAAAAAGTAAAGAGATAATAAAAAAAAGATGAATAGGTATTTAGAAACTTTTTATTTTACTAATAGGTAGGTACATAATAATACATTTAAAATTCTATATTAATTCTCCAGAATATTCAAACCCAAAGTCACAAATGTAATTCTGAAGGAACACGTAGTAGAACATTGGGCCTTTGGTCAAAAGCAACTCCTGTACTGCAGTGGGTATGTTATTGACTAAAGCTTCGAACATTGCGGCAATGGCTGGGTCTGAAAAGAAAACAAAATAAATTAGCCAATAATATTGTAGTTAAAAAAAGGAATATTCCCGTCTCTGGCACCCCTCGCTGCAACTCCTGTGTAGCCAGGATCTACAGCTTGACCGCCAATAAAAACCCAACCAGTGAAGGCCAAGTTTGTCCCGGAGGAAATATAATCACCGCAACATAGCGGTATTTTCTGGGTCTCAAACTATATTTATACCTTATCAGTTTAATGATTTAAGCATGAAAAAAGATAGAGTTATATTTGTCATGTTAGTGTTTAATATGGAATATGGATAGGACTGATTCCATAAATATCGAACCACAGCAAAGTTGATTACTTAAAATTTTTAGAACTCCAACTAAAAGTTATGAATATCATCATCACCATCATTTCAGCCACAGTACGTGCACTGTTGAACATAGTCCTCCCCAATGATTTTCACATCACCCGGTTCGTAGATGTATGGTAAATTAATTAACTTGAAAAAATTGCCTAAAGGTTCAGTCAAATCAACGCGATCAATGCATTTAAGTCTGATCGCCATCGCTGCACGCCGGATGATCGCATGTGATCGCGTTGGTTTGGCTGAACCTTAAGAGTAGGCGCACACCGTTGATTTTTAGTTGGACGATAGTTGTGCCCGATTTTAATTTGTATGAAGAATCGGCCAAATCGAATCGGTGTAGTGTGCGCACTCCCATACATGCCCATACTGATCAACTGCCCGACTAAACTATCGGCCGACGAAAAATCAACGGTGTGCGCCTACTCTAAATGCATTGATCGCCATCGCTGTACGCCGGCTGATCGCGTGTGATCGCGTTTGTTTAGCTGAACCTTAAGGTTAGTTATTACCTCTTATCAGGTTTAGTTTGAGATGCTACTATTAACGCTAAAAAAATATCAACTATAATGGTACGAGTAATGTACCTGAGCTCTCTTGAATGTTAGATCCGACGGCAAAAGAAGGGTAAGGGTTGATGTTGTAGGAAGTCACGGACGATCCCTTAAGCCCCAAAAGCCCCTTAGAAGGAATCACTCCAGTAAGTTCTACGACTGTGGAAAAAAGACACAACCATCATTAAATATCAAGAAAATAAAGAAGCTATGAATGAAAAGATGTGAATTATATCCAATCAGGCCATGAATACAGGTAAAGTCACAAGCAAATGCTAGTAAAATATATGTATATCAAAATGTACAAGTAAAGCGCTTTCAAATGATACCAAACACGGCATATTTTGTCTTAACTTTATTTTTTTACTCTGTATGTTTTGTCCGCTAGAGGGCGCCACATTAGATTTTGTGAAACCCCATATAGCCTATAACCAGCGGACAATTAAGACGCCTCTAATGATATACCATTTGTCGAATTCTGATAAGTAGTTTAGAAGTTACGAGGGAACAGATGAACATACATACATACAAACACACATAGGTCTCTGCACTAAGCGTACGTGCTAGTATCGCAGTGGCCAGAATACAGACAATTTCCATTAAAATAATGTGACATCGGACATACATTTGTAACTATGTGCAAAAATAACCATGCACAAATCGACACATGCACAAATATTCAAAGAAAATAATACAAAACTGCTATCCCTAACCATTAAGATAAGACAAGTTTTGCATCAAAATCTAGTCGAAGAAAATAAAGGTAATAATATCATCATCATCATCATTTCAGCCGTAGGACGTCCACTGCTGAACATAGGCCTCGCCCAATGACTTCCACATCGCACGGTTGGTAGCGGCCTGCATCCAGCGCCTTCCTGCTACCTTTATCAGGTCGTCGGTCCACCTTGTGGGTGGACGTCCCACGCTGCGTTTTCCGGTACGCGGCCTCCATTCCAGAACCTTGCTTCCCCATCGGCCGTAAGTTTTGCGTACTATATGCCCTGCCCACTGCCACTTCAGCTTGCTAATCCGTCGGGCTATGTCAGCGACTTTAGTTCGTTTACGGATCTCCTCATTTTCAGATTGGTAATTCATTTATGAGAAAATGTATTAAATTCTTTAATAAATTACCACAAACTGTTGTAGAACTACCCATTCATAAATTCAAAGCACATATTAAAAGTTACCTTAATGAAAAAGGGCTACTAAAGTCGATGATTATTTAAAAGATAAAAATGTTTGGGATGCGTTACTGCCTAGCTCGCATAAATATTTATAAATATTTATAACATTCTAAAGCCTGTAAACCTTTGAAAAAGAGGCTGACAATAGTGACTGAGTTTCTTGCGCTGCTTCTTCTCAGCACTGGCCCATTTATTGTCCTGGAGCAGTGGTAGGGTTAATACTGGGACATGTAAAAGTGCTTTTTTAAAGCCTACTTACAGAAATAAATGAGTTTTATGAGTTTTAGCCCTCTCCATAGCACGCTGTGCAACTTTGAGGTAATAATATGCATTTAATATATTATGTATGTTATTTTCTAGTTTTTATGGATTATGGGCGAATAAAGATCTACTTACCATAGGTTACATTAAGGTAGTCAGAGGCCACTACTGGCTCCTTCCCTCTCTGGCTAACGATGAAGTCCATGACGGGAGTGTACTTGTTGACGCCCTCGAAGTTGACAGACAACACCAAGTTGCTAGTGTCTCTGTCCACACTGAAAAATATAGGAACGATCTTAAGAATATATGAAAAACTAGCGGCCGCCCGCGACTTCGTACCCGTGGATCCTGTTTTACCCCCTTAGGGGTGGAGTTTCGTAAAATCCTTTCTTAGAGGATGCCTACGTCATAACATCTACCTGCATGCCAAATTTCAGCCCGATCCGTTCAGTGGTTTGGGCTGTGCGTTGATAGATCACTATGTCAGTCAGTCAGTCACCTTTGAGTTATATATATTTAGATTAAGTGGTATTCTAGCATAGCCTGAAATGGAGCTGCAGACGAATGTGCAAGGACAAACTCGAGGATCCGTTTTCTTGGGCTCTGGTGGACACCGTCGGGTTTTAGTGAGTAGGCCCTTCCTTTCGGCCTTTATTGAGTAGGCCGAGGCGGAGAGAGTCCCACATAAGGGCTTGTGGCCATGGAGACATCCTGTTTTGTACAGAAACAGTTTTTTGCAGGAATCCTTTTAGTAGTTATACGTGTTTTTAAATTAAAGTTTACAAGATCATCCGGTTTGTACACTGCAATTCGAATTTGTGATTCGAATCTCAAACACGCATATCTAGTGTGTTCACACGTGAGTCCAGTTTTGCGGAATCCTGCATCACTGGATCCCGCAAAACTGAATTGCCTTAGGATCGAGCTCTAACCCACTGGTCGTCCCCATCGGCCAGTGGCATAGCCAAAGCATTTCCCAACGTAAAAAGAGGTCTAGGTATTAAAAAACAAAAGAAAGTCACGACTTACTAGAAAGATGTCACTTCAGATCCATAGTAGGTGATGACGTCAGCTTCAGAAGAAGCAGTTAGGTTGGCGATAGGAGCGTACATCTTGAAATGAGCCTGTCTTGAGATTGCCACTCCATCCTGGTGACCGGTTCTATGGCATCGTCTGGTCTTTGCGAAGTAGTTTCTGATGCAGTTTAAGCTGCTTTGGGATCCGCATGGGTAATAGAAGTTATCTGGAAGATAAGCAGTTTTTTTGTGGTGGCAGTTTTGATGATACAGGTCGTTAGGCACATACATAGATAAATAAGTAAGTGCTGCTTATTGCTCACCATAAAAAAAATAAAGCTCTATGAAAGACAAAAGTTGGTGATGCTCAATTTATTAAGTTTAACTAAGTTTTATTATGCTTCTATTCATCTTGGAACTTTTTAAATTTGTTGTTATTAAAATTTTGAGCAAATTCTGAGAGAATATGAAAAATAAAAGGAAGACCAGCAAGGGCACGATTGCACGATCAACGAATCGTGAAAAAAACACAATTCCGTATGCAAATCATAACGTATCATCTTTTTTTGACCAATCGTCAATGACGGATTCCGTGTACCTTTAGTATATAAAATATCCTGATATTAACAAAAATAAATTAATTTAAAACTTATATTTTAAAACAAACCAAAATTAACATACCTTCTCCATTAACAGCGTACACCAAACCAATCAGAAGGATAAGAAAAAATATTTTCGACTCCATTTTAGATTCTTCTACAAAATCCTTGGATCTTATGTATAAGATATCTTTTTCAGTAGTATTTATAGGCCTAAAATTTTAGTTTTTGGTCTGATAAGATAAAATAGTATAATATAGCTTAGCAACCTGTACCTACAGGTTGTTTTTTATAGTTGATGAAACAGAAAGGATTGATTCTAACGCAATAACGTTTCCAGTGGGACTAAAGTTCAAATATTAAAAAATATTTGCACCAAATGGTTCGTGTAGGGGAGACTGGGTACGGTTGAAACAATTTTGCTTTTATTGTCTATAATTTTGTTGTTTAATAACCAAGTGACGATTACGATACGTGAAATTGAAATTTTAAGTTTTAGCTATGATGTGGCTGTATCATTATACTTCCCGGGTTACTATTTATAGAAATATACGAAATTTAAAAAAAAAATTGTTTCAACCGTCCCCATGCCAGGGGCGGTCGAAACAGCGATTGGGATGTGTTGAAATACATACAAATAATACAATAAGTACTAATAAAACGTGTTTTATTTATCATTAACACTACGAATATTAAAATTATGGTACCACATGACGACATTAATCAGTCTAAGTATTTAATATTTCTAAAACATTAATTAGCCTTTTATAAGTAGTAAACATTTTAAAAAATAACAGAAATATGATTAAGTAAATGATATTTCCAAACCTAATAAACATTAATAATAAAATAATATTAACATTCTGAATAAAGTTAACGAAAATCGTTTTTTTTTTCAAACCATACTTTTCCACCGCTTTCCGCAGTGAATCTCCAGCTTTTACCTCCTCTTATGCTTTACTAGGTCAATTTCCTCTCGGGAAATCTTCCTTACCCAAACTCTCGGTATCTACAAAAAATAAACATTAATAAATTTTCTGTTTCAACCGTACCCACAAAAAATGTTTCAACCGTCCCCAACTCCACTTTTGGTAAAATATACTTTACAGTTTCGACACTAATGATAACACATTAAAAATAGTTACTGGCCCTTATTCTACAAGCTTCATTATAATCGCAAACGCACACTCGAGACATTCAAATAAAAAGAACAGGCAGTATAAGCGTTAATGTCTGAAGAAAAATACTTACTTTTGGGTAGTAAAAAACAATATGGCGTTTTGCACACAACGTCAACGCGTCAGGAAGTTTTAGGCACTAAATTCGTGTTCGGACCTGTTGTCCGCTTCTTTTTCCCCTAGGACCCCCAACTCCTCGCGGAACCGTTTACGAGATATTTGCTCTGTTTCAACCGTCCTTTGTTTCAACCGTACCCAGTCTCCCCTAATATTACACTCGGCGCTGGCTAGCCAGTTACTTTGCTTGAACTTGGCTTGACACGCTGCCACGTGTCTAGATATTACAATACATTGTCATCAGTAATCAGCCATTAAAAAATATGGAGACCAATTTATTTATTATTTTTCATTTATTTACGATAGTTTTTTGAGAATTTTGATTGAGAATTTTGATTTTGCTCCTGTAGTTCAAATTTATTTTTTATTTCTTTATAAGGAAAACACACAGCTCATTATTCTAGTAGCAGTATAGTAGTAAAAACGGTTGACCCATTTTTGTTTGATCAACTATAAAAAGAACAACCTGTATCTTTTATGATAATAAATTATGTAGAATTAGATTCAGGTGTAGGTATCTATTTTATTTATTATGCCAGCAACCCGCCCGGACTTCGCATGTAATTAATTACCTACATAGGGATTTTATATAAATAATGAAATAGTCTAAGAAACAGTCTGATATTTTAACCTAAAGTTTCTTTAGTCCGTGAAAAAACTTGAAAAAAACCCCGACGTTCGTACCTAAAAGTTAGTAAGTAGGTACGTTTTTCTTTCAATTAAATATGTAGAGATATTTTGTCGATAATTGCCCGATGAATCACTATTTCTAAATGATCAGATAATCTCTTAAGTATTAACAATTGAACTATCGAAAATAGATACGTTTTTATACAGGGTGGCCCAGAAAGAAATGCAATTTTGAAAATTCATGGAAACGAAAACTACGGGGCTATGTGTCACACTTCAAATGAGAGCATTTAGGTAGGTAAGAGACTGTTTCCACAAAAAATAATTTTAGGCAGGAATGACATCTCAGATCTCACTCCAGAAAACTCCTTTTTGTGGTGTTACCTTAAAAATAGAGTATTTATAATCCAACAACCATGAACAGTGATTGTACTTTCGCTACTCGGAGCGCGCGGCTTTTTTATTTCTACCCTCAATTTTTAGAAATGGAAGAAGCGAGTGAGGACGATAATAGAAGTGATTCTGAAATCATTAACGAGTGTGAACGTGAAATTGAAGCGATGCTAGAGTGGCATAACTCGGGAATTGAGTATAATACTAGAAATGTTGAGAAGAGAGGACGCGAAGAAAGTGAGGAGAATAGCGAAGAAGGGTTTGTTACAGTTACAAGTAGAAAAGCAAAAAGACTACTAAGAAGCAATTCTCTAATCTTACAAACGAATGGAAGTTGTAATATATCCAACCGAGAAGAGGCGCCAGAAATGGAAAACACATTCCAAATATGTATTACTTCTCTAACCGCACTTCCANAAAAAAATCGTGTTTATTTCTAATTAAATCCATTTTTACACCCTTAAAATGTATGAAACTTGTATCCGTTTTCTACTTCTACTAATAGTTAATTTTATTGGCTATCGCATGATATAAAATTTTTGCTTATTAATGTTAAACTACCCACGCTATCACTTGTTTTTGAAGGAAGAGGTGAAAACTCAAAATTAAAAACTTAAATCCTTGTAAATATGCGAGAAATGGGTCAAGCCCCAAATTTAAAGTATTTTCACCGATAAAATTGTCTATAGATTACGCCCTTAAAGTTTGATCACTACATGCCCGGACACACTGTATAATTTAACTAATTCTGTCGGGTCTGGGCTTTTTTTATATGGGGCGTGACCGTTCTTCTTTGAATCATTCAAAACAACAAACAATTAATTATTTATTTAATTATACTCCTAAAATAAAGTAAGACAGTGCTTTAATATTTGTCATCTTTTTGTGAACAGGACAATGATACTTGGAGTTCATGGGCTTCTAAGAATTTAAAAACTCCGGTATCATGTCAACTCAAAGTACCCAGAGAAAGTGAAGAAGGCCAAAAACTTGCTCAAGTGACGAATATGTTAAGGAAAAAATTCGCTTGGTAAAAATGTTACAGGAAAACGCTGAGAAAGAATCCCTGTGCGATTTTTTTTTCGCTTCCGCAACAAAAAGTTGAAGCAGCTCCTGTAAGCAGAGAACCCTCGGCAATAAATATGTCATGTGTATGGTCAGTGCTACGCGCGACGGCGAACGGAGCGCACGTATCAGTGATTGTACTTTCGCTACTCGGAGCGCGCGGCTTTTTTATTTCTACCCTCAATTTTTAGAAATGGAAGAAGCGAGTGAGGACGATAATGCAAAAAGACTACTAAGAAGCAATTCTCTAATCTTTCAAACGAATGGAAGTTGTAATATATCCAACCGAGAAGAGGCGCCAGAAATGGAAAACACATTCCAAATATGTATTACTTCTCTAACGGCACTTCCAAAACAATTTGCGTTGGCGAAATTAATGAAAAAGAAAAATATTGATGGTATTAACCAAATCAAATATAAAAGTCCATATAAGGTGCTCGTTCAATTCGATACCAAAGAGTGCGCTGATAAATTACTTAGATGCTCAAAAATGGTTGATTATGGATATAGATGCCAATCCACTACCGAAAATAACATTTCATACGGAGTAATTAAAGGTGTTGATTTGGACATTGATACTGAAGAGATTAAAAAATCACTAGAAAGCCCATACGAGATAACATCTATAATACGACTTAAACGACTGGATCTTGATGGAAAGTGGATCGATAGTGAGTCAATCCGAATCAGTTTTAAAGGTTCTACCTTACCCTCGTATGTTCACGCGTATGGGTGCAGGTTTAAGGTGGAATGTTATGAGTTTCCAGTAACACAATGCTCTCTTTGTTGGAGATTTGGCCATATAGCGAAATTTTGCCCAACTAAAAAAGTATTCTGCCCTAAATGTGGCAAGGATCACGATAATTGCGAAACAGAAATCTACCAATGCTTAAATTGTGAAGGTCCTCACATGGCATTAGATAAAAAGTGCCCTATGTTTATCAAAGAAAAAGAAATAAGGAAGATAATGCGTCAACAAAATTCTACATATAGAAAAGCTCTACAATTATACCTGCAAAATCAAACTGCTAAAGAAAAAGCCTCCTGCATAACAAATGTGAATTCCAACGCCAGTTTAACAACAAAAAATAAGAGGTCATACAGTAGCGCACTTATAACACAAGCGCAAGTACATGAAGAAAAACTGCATTCTGACAGTACACTAGATAATATAGAAGAAGAGACACAAGTTTTGAACTCACATGGTAGAGCTGAAAGGAATAAGAAGAAATATCTCAAGAAGAAGAAAAACGACTTTGTACAAGGTGAAATATTAAGAAATGAAGAAGTGCAGTGCATTGAAGAAGTGAAAAAAGCTAAACATTCAGAACAAAATAAGCAAAAGTTTGAATTTAAAAAGTTTTTATTAAAAGTTAAATCAATTATTGTCAACGACAGTACTTTTGAAGATAAAATAAGTTCATTTGTAAAGTTAATAGTAGAAGAAATCAAAAATTATATAATTAGTTTTGTCAGCAAAGCAGAGGCAATAGATGTATTATTCAAAAACTTTTTTGATGGATAAAAGGCCATCTAAAAGCTCTGTTATTAATATATTACAATGGAATGCACAATCTATAAGACCTAAGATTACCAGTTTCGGTGCTTTGCTAAATCAGGAACGGATTCATGTTGCTATCATTAGAAGGCGACCTGCCAGACCTAGAAAAGGTACAGGAGAGATCCGCCCCTCTATATCGTCGAGAAAAACACTTGTCATCAGCAATCCAGAGCTGGAATTGTGTAAAACAATCGTTATCATTTGACAGTTCATATCGTACGATAAAGTCAGTTAAACAAAGCGTTTGACAGAA